CCAGGACTGGGAGGGAGACGGGGGAGAGAGCCACCTGGAGACTGGCAGGCAGGGGAGATGGCAACGGGTGCGCTGGACAAGGCGAGGGGACAGCGGCACTGGGGCCGCCCCAGCCCAGAGGTCACAACTGAATAAATAGCGAGTCTGGGCAGGCCACCTCCTTCAGTTCACAGTGTCTGTCGGGGACGCACTTGGCTGGCTGGCTGGCTCCGGGGCCTGGGGGGCCACCTGCCCACAGCTGCCAGGCAAGGAGTCAGGGGTGGGTTGGTGCCCCCTACTTTTTGTCCTCAGCCCTCGGTGGCCTCCAGGGCTCAAGTGGCCCCTGGCGGGCAGCTAGGTGGCCAGGTGGGGGAGGGGGGCTGTGGCTATGCCCTCAGGCCATGGCAGGGCTGGCCGCCTCCACGCAGCTACCTGAAGAAAGGTAGGGGGTTCTGGCTCAGGACCCCGCTAGTCCGGGGTGACTCGGTCTTGGCCATGACGTCCTTGAACCAGGATGCCACATCCACCTCCAGCGTCTCGTAGCGCTTGATGAAACTGTGTTCCTGTGGGCCCAAGGGGGAGGGGATCAGTGTAAGGTCTTGCTCAGGGGAGCTGCTGGGAGAGGCAGGGGGGGGGGCAGTCAGAGACGGTACTTACAAGTAGCTTATTATACTTTGGTCTCTTCCTGTGATCTTTAGTAAGGCTGGAAGAAGAGGGGGTGAGGAGAGGTGAGGGCTGCGGGGAGGAGGGGTCAGGCTACCTCCGCCTGCCCGCCCTGCTTCACTGGGAGCCCAGATCTCCGAGGACGGTGTGGGCTGGTCCCTTTCCCATGCCCTTCCCATTCCAACAGGGACCCCGGAGGAAACCGAGTTGGGGCTTCTTCACCAGCCTGCACAAACTGCCACAAGCGCACGTGAAGGGCCCTTCACCTTCACGTCCCTCTGCTTGTCACAGATGGGCAGCGCGATGAGGGCCACCGCCCCACACCTCAGCAGGCCCCACGGCCCCCGTCTCCAGCCTGGCCTGAGGAGGCCCCCAGCCTACCAGTCTTTGACGAAGGACTGGAAGTCCCCCGAGAAGTCCATGTGTCCAGGCAGGAGGGGGGGCTCCTCCTGGAGGACCTTGGTGAGGACCTCAAAGTCTGTCTTGCAGTTCTTGTAGGGGAACTGTCCCGTGGCCAGCTCCACCTGGAGAGCGAGTGGTCAGGCTGGAGCACTGGGCGGGGAACACCCCCCTCCCTGCTCCCTACTCACCAGCGAGATGCCTAGACTCCACACATCGGCCCGGATGTCGTAGTCTGGCTTTGTGGGGTCTGGGGGGTCGATGCGCTCGGGCTGTGGGTGGGAAGAGAGCATGCTGTCCCAGGCTGCCCTGGCCCGCCTCCTGCCCACCTGTCTGGGCCGCCACTCACCGCCATATAGGCGGCACAGCCGGCACTGCGCGTCTTGGCCTTGGAGTCCACCAGGCGGCCGCTAATGCCAAAGTCGCACAGCTTGATCTGGCCGCGCTCGTCCAGCAGGATGTTGGAGGGCTTGACGTCGCGGTGGATGACGCCGTGCTTCTCCTTCAGGTAGAAGAGCGCCTTCACGATCTGGGGGGGTGGGGGCATCAGTGGGGGGGCACCACCCACGGCCTGCCGGTCCCAGTCCACCCCGCCCATCAGGTGTGCAGCGCTCACCGCCACCGTCATCTTGCCCAGGATGCGCTCCGGGATCGGGTCCTGCATCCGCTTCTTGAGCTTCTCGGCGCACGTGCCCATGAGCTCCATGGCGATGAAGACGTCCGTCTAGGGGCGCAGCACATGGGGTTCAGAGGGGACCCCCAACTGCAGCACCCAGCTAGGGTCTGCAGCTGCCGGGGCAGGGCGCCTGCTCAGGGGGGGCGGGCTCACATTGGTGATGAAGGTCCCAAAGCACTGCACGATGTAGGGGCAGTCGTGGCTCTTGAGCACCACGTCCAGGTCCATCAGGATGCGCTTGTTCTCCTCCTTGTTCCCCGAGCGGCGCATTTGCTGCACGGACCAACGCAAGGGGGGAGGGAGGGCGGGC